ATGCACCTTTTAAATTTCAGTAGATACTGTGAAATTACTTTGCTGAGCAGTTGTAGTAAGTCATCACGCCCAAGAACTCGGTGTTGTTTCAACTCACTATTCCCAAAATAGGAATGGTCTCTTTGCTAATCTGATGGGTATAGAATGGTATCTCGTTGCTTTGTTTTTGGCCATGTGTTAATTTGCTAGTTGTACTTTCTCTTAGATGAATTAACTGTTAATAGCTTCAGCCTACTTTTGTTGGATTGCTTGCCCTCTGCCCTCTTCTTAGAGTTGGTGGGAGCTCTTTCTGTTAGGATTGTTATCTCCTTGGCATATCTATGGACCTTACCTCTCAGTCTATATTTTTCTTAAACTCATTTAAAGGTATCTTCTATTGGGTACTATTTTAAAGATAGTTTATGAGTAGGAGGTTGTTGTACCAGGTATGATGTGTTACTGAGGAATCACAGAGAGCAACCGTGGCCCAAGAGCAGATCCAAGGTGTTCCACGTCTTAAATTATGATAAGGGAGCATTAGGGGAAAGAATGGATATTTTACAACTTGTTTTAGATATTCGACTCTCCATAAATAAGAGAATAGTTTTCACACCTTATACAAAAAGAAATTTTAGATGAATGATTGAATGAATGAATGAAAGAACCTGATTCAGGGATTAGGATCTTTTCCATTTAGAGCTTGCAGCAGCACCTTCTGCTTATTTCTGTCACAGTATTTATGTTACACTGAACTTGACCACTGATTTGTGTTTTCTTCTCCATGAGGTTATAAATTCCATCAAGACGGGAGCCACGTCTTACTCATGTAGCACCTTGTTGTCTAGTGTGATGGTAGTGCATATTGGGTACTCCGTATCTGTGGAATTGTGAATGAGCTTCTTTGTCCCTCACTTGTTCTGTGTTCTATCTGCCATTCCCAAGGAAGTTTTGTACAGAATAAAATATAATATGGCAAGCTCTTGACCCTTAAAACTGTAACAGTAATATAGTCAAGACAGGCCCGGCACCTGGATTAGGGTAGGGATAGTGGGTAGTGTAGAAATGGATGGGCTCCACAGACATTTAGTAGGAAGTAGACCCAACAAGACCTTGGTGATTTAGTTGAATGTTGTTCTGAACAAAGGAGAAAATAGAAGGCGGACTTGCAGCCCTTAGAGATACTCGCTGGGATGTGTACAGAGAAAAGGAGCTCTTCTCCCTTGCGGAGTTTTTATTTGTCTGCTGTTTCTGATCCATTTTGTCTCCCTAATACAAAAACCAGATTGCAAGTGTAGTTCACTTTCAACTCCTTGCTTTTCTTTTGAGAATTTTCTTTTGTGTTTCTTGCTCATTGCTCCCTCCTGCTCCCTCCCTCATTGCTGCTGAATTCTGTCCTAGTAACAGCTAATTTCCTCTGAGAACAAGGTAGGGAAATAACATGAGCAGGCAAAGCCAGAACTCTGTTCAGCAGGCAGCCCGAAAAGGAAAACAGAATAATGATGTATTTATAATTTTTTTATGCTATCTCAAGGAGGTTTTGTTTACCTGAGAAGAGTTTCAGTAAGGCATGTGGAGAAACTGAAAAGGACTGGATCCAGGGGCTCGGGGTATGTTAAGGGGAAGCACGTCATAGAATATGGATGAAAGTAGGGGAGAGACAATGACACAAGGAGCCTCACTTTTGAATGTGGCAAAAATGTTGAGATGACAGTTTTTTAGCAGTTGCCTGGTAGATGGTTATACTCAGACTGTAGGAACCTGGTGTGGCATGCACAGCTGTTGCACATGTCAAGACAGGAAGCTTTTGATGGAGGAGCCTTTCATCTTTTTGTCCTCTGAGTATTTTTTTTTTCCTGTGTTTGGTACCAAAGAGTCCTGATTGGCACCTAGGGACTGTTGGTTGAAGGGGTAAGTTACGTTTTATGATTTTCTATGTGTAAATGTTCGATTTCAGTTTCAGTAGGAAACTTTTTTATTTGAAAAGTTTTTGCATTTGCTGTTCTGCTCAGAGTACTTCTTTAAGATGGTAGCTGTGGATTTCTTCCCCGCAACCATTGCCACTTCTAGTGACATGTTTATGCTAACATTGTTCTGTTACATTAAATTAGTTTGCTCTAATCTTCATGATGGAGTCTGTTAAACATTAGGCCTAGTAAATAGAGCAAGGAAACCATAGACCAGGATTTGAAGTAGATTGTTCCTCTCATTTTCAAGGATTTAACAGTAAAATTAGTTTCTTTTATTTAACAGAAATTATACATGCTTATAATTTTAATGTATAGTAATAAGACTATGGATTTTCTCAAGACTCTTTAAATCTTAAATGTCAAGTTGGTGATCACTGAAGTAATATCTTTATTTGGTAATAAAATCATTTTAACTTCAAGGTGTTATAAGTGACATTAAAATATCTTCTGTTTACTGTCCTTCATGCTGAGTGCTGTACTCTGAAGAAGGTATCATTATTGTAGGTCTATAGATGAGAAAGCTCTAAGAGACTAATTTTTCAAAAGCCGCTTAAAACCCAGAGTCAGAATTTGAATACAGGTACCCCTGACTAGACAGGCCATCTTTCCACTGTGTCTCTTTTTCACTCACCTTAAAAGAATATGTATAATGTGGTAAAACACGCACATACATATGTGATGCATGTTTAGAAAGCCATCTAGAAAATACGGAAAAGCTATGAGATCAAGGGTAATCTAACAATGCAGGGCTAATCCCTGTGAACATTTTAGCATGTACTCCTTGTCTTTCTCTTTTGGCAAACACACATGGTAAAGGAAGTCTCCATGTTTTCATTTATGTTACACGCTGTACTCTCTCAGTACTGCTTCAGTGCTGACATTAGCTGTGTGGGTTTTCCACTCATCAGAGGGTCCTGTGACACCAGCAGAGCCCCCTGCAATTTAACTCAGTTCCGATGCTCTTTCTACCTGGAGACAACACCAGATCCCAGAGGCTAAGCATTCAAGTCCTACGAGACTCCCTCCTCACCCCCCAGTTACTTGTGCTTCTGAGTCACAGATCAGAGATTTCCATGATCCACTCCTCAGAAACGGTTAATATGCCAGAGCTGCTCCCCTGACTGAGCATCGGCTGTAGGAATGAGGTGCACAGGCACCCTGTGATGGAGAGGCACAGAGCTCATACGCCCTCTGCAAAAGTGTGCCAGTCTTCCAGCACCACTCGCCATGGTTGCCCAGCCGGAACCTTGCCAAGCCCCATCTTCTGGGTTTTTATGAATGCTTCATTAGATAGGCATGATTGATCCAGTCATTGGCCATTGATGATGGATTCAGTTTCTAGCCCTTCCCTAAATTTCCAACCTTCTAATTTTGGTTCCTTTAGCAGCTAAGGGCTTTCCAAAAGCCACCTCATTAACATAAACACAAATGTAGTTGAAAGAGGTTTGTTATAAATAACAAAAGCCACCTTTGTCTTCTCCCTTAGGAGATTTTTTTTTTTTTTTAAGTATTTTTTTATTTATTTGAGAGAGGGAGAGAGCTTGCTTGAGCAGGGAGAGGGACAGAGGTTGGAGGGAGAAGCAGACGACTCTATGCTGAGCAGGGAGTCTGACCCTGCTCCATCCCGGTGTTACAGGGTCGCAGGGATCTTGTCTCATGGAGCTGAAGAATGAATGTCCCAGACACAAGAGGGTGAAGTGATGTGAAAGTTCATTAAGTGAAGGTGAGAACAGAAGGGAAAGAAAAAGCTCTCTAGAGTGAGAGGGGTCCCCAAATGGGCTGCCACTGAGGGCTTTTAGGCCAGTCTTTTATCGAGAACTCGACCAGGGAGCTTGGGGCCTTGAGATTCTTGTGCCATCTTGGTCTGAACAAGGACAATCGATAACACCCTTACTGACTGACTGATTTTGAGGTTTGGTCATTTTCTTTCTTTCTTTTCTTTTCTTTTTAAGATTTTATTTATTTATTTGACAGAGAGATCACAAGTAGGCAGAGAGGTAGGCAGAGAGAGAGGAGGAAGCAGGCTCCCTGCTGAGCAGAGAGCCTGATGCGGGGCTCGATCCCAGGACCCTGAGATCATGACCCGAGCTGAAGGCAGAGGCTTAACCCTGAGCCACCCAGGCGCCCCGGTTTGGTCATTTTCTGTGATTCCCTGTAGCTGGCATAGAAAAATACTCCCTAACATCTGGGGCCAGGTGGTCTGGTCTATTCCCTGATCTCTTGTTCACTCTTTCAGAACCTAGCTAAGGGACCCCTGTCTCTTCCTGCCTACATCTGAGTCCTTTCCTTACTCACCAGGACCCTGGGATAATGACCTGAGCCCGAATGACTGAACCACCCAGGTGCCCCCACTTAGGAGATTCTAAGGGTTTTTTAGGAGCTCTGCCAAATATATATATATTTCATAAATATAAATATATATATATACACATATTTCTTATAAATCATAATATCCTACATGTATACCCATGACAATCCATATCTAAAATTAGTTGACTTCTATTTATACTTACCTAAGAAAAGTCCATTCTGCTATTTCTGCACTATCAGGAGTGGAAAGAGAAATATATATATGATGGAAATTATTATATTCTCTATATTAGTGTTAATCCAAGTGCTGATTTGATAAATTGTTACTAGTCTAACTGGAAATAAGGAAAATGTTAATGATGATGAAAATGAACTTAACATAATAAAAGAATATCTTATATTCTGAGTTACTTTAATCACTTTTGGAGAATTAATACATTGTTTCCTCAATGAAATGTTGGTAAAACTGCGGTGTATTATTATTGGTGATGATAGTGATGTTGTTACTTCGCAAAACACAACAACAAAACAAGAGTAATCCTATCTTGTTCCCTGCTTCAGGTTTTTAAAATTTTATTTTACTGCTTCCTGACATTTACAAGCCTTGTCACGATCATCTATGCAACTTCTTGTAATTAACAACAGAAGTATTTGACCCAGTGCTATTTGACCTCGGGTTACATTACATTTATTAATTTTTCACCCTTACTTTTTATTGAGTCCTTTTTTCTTTTCCATTTCCAGTACCTGGTCATGGATTATTATGTTGGTGGGGATTTGCTTACTCTGCTGAGCAAATTTGAAGACAGATTGCCTGAAGATATGGCTCGATTTTACTTGGCTGAGATGGTGATAGCAATCGATTCCGTTCATCAGCTGCACTATGTGCACAGGTGAGTAAGAGGCCACACAAGAATGGGTTCTGTGAGTGCCAGCAGAGATGTCTTTGTAGGAAAATGATACTTTTGATGGCCATGGGGTAATTTTTTTCTCTGTAAACTATTTGACAGGGACAGTGATTTATTTAAAGTCTTCCTCACAAATGTGTGTTTGATTGTATACAGTTTAAGATGAAATGAAAAGAAAAAAGTGAGCCTCTTTACAAAATAGTTTTTTATACAGGATTATTCTTTTTTTTTTTTTAAGTTTTTATTTAAACTCCAATTAACATACAGTGTAATACTGGTTTCAGATGTACAATATAGTGATTCAGCACTTTCATACATCACCCTATTCTCATCACGACAGGTGCACTCCTTAATCCCCATTACCTGTTTCCCCCGTTTCCCACACACTTCCCCTCAGGTAACCAGCAGTGTATGCTCTGGAGTTGAGTCTGTTTCTTGATTTATGTCTCTCTCTCTCTTTTTTCCCTTTGCTCATTTGTTTTGTTTCTTAAATTCCACATGTGAGTGAAATCATGGTATCTGTCCTTCTCTGACTGACTTATTTTGCTAATCATAATACTTTAGCTCGCTTCTTATCACTAAAAATGGTAAGATTTCATTCTCTTTTATGGCTGAGTAATATGCCATTGTATATGTACACCACATCTTCTTTATCCGTTCATCTATTGACGGACACTGGGGCTATTTCCATAGTTTGGCTATTGTAGATAATGCTGCTATAAACATCAGGGTGCATGTATCCCTTTGAATTAGTATTTTTGTACTCTTTGTGTAAATACCTAGTTGTGCGATTGCTGGATCATAAGATACTTACATTAACGTTTTGAGAACCTTCCATACTGTTTTCCAGAGTGGTTGCACCAGTTTGCATTCCCACCAACAGTGCACGAGGGTTCTTCTTTCTCCATGTACCAGATTATTCTTACACCTGTTGACACAAGCTAAAAATCTCCTTCTAATGTAAACAGCTCATAATAATTTATGTGTAATAAAAAAATTTTAAATGTATTGTGTACTTTAAAAGGCAGTCTCACATTTTAAAAGGAGAGAGCGTAGGAAACGATCACAGAGTTACTGGCAAATGAGGAAAGCTTTGGGTTGTGAGAACCGTGAGAGAGACTAGGCGCTAGGAAGAAGCAAATGGAGGACCCACCGCTTTGGAGAGGGCAGGAACCATCCTCTGAGACATCAGCATAAGTCAGAATGAGGCAGAGGTTTGTTGTGACCCTCTTCGTTGGGTCTACACCAGAGCTTCTGAATCCATAGGGTGGGTGGGGCTGGGAATTGGCATTTCTGACAGGTTCCCAGGTGCTGCTGCTGGTCCAGCGACCAGACTCTGAGCCCTTCTGTTCAGTAACAAAGCAATGCCTGTTCCTTTTAAGTGGTGGCTGATGCACGTGATCTCTGTGAAGGACAGGAGCCCAGGTAGAAGAGAAAGTTTCTGTTTTAGTGTTGCTTTTTTTTTTTTTTTTAAAGATGTGGGTATTTTCAGCTGATTGATTTACTTAGTACTGAACTTCTAGGACATTAGAAAAGGAAGAATATTTTGATTAAAAATTTTATATTTAGGAGATCTCAGTTTGGCTACTGCCTATTCATATGCTTTCCCCTGTTGATACCTAATAGTCACAAGGTTTTTTTAAAAATAAAACCATGAATATACTATGAAAATTATAAAACACAGTGCAGTCTTTAAGATGGTATTATGGTCTTAAGAGCGAATTATGGAATGAGAAACTAAAGTGCTTTTGTTATGGGAACTCAAGATCCCAGCTGAGAACTGTCATTTAAAAATTTTTTTTTCTAATTTTTTCTAAATTTAATTTTATTTTTTCAGTGTTCCAAGACTCATTGTTTATGCACCACACCTAGTGCTCCATGCAATACGTGCCCTCCTTAATACCTACCACCAGGGTCGCCCAGTCCCCCACTCCCTCCCCTCCAGAACTCTCAGTTTATTTCTCAGAGTCCATAGTCCCTCATGGTTCATCTCCCCCTCCAATTTCCCCCAACTCACTTCTGCTCTTCTTCACCCGATATCTTCTGTGTTACTCCTTATGCTCCACAAGTAAGTGAAACCATATGATAATTGACTCTCTCTGCTTGGCTTATTTCACTCGGCATAATCTCTTCCAGTCCTGTCCATGTTGATACAAAAGTTGGACATTCATCCTTTCTGATGGAGGCATCATTGTATATATGGACTATATCTTCTTTACCCATTCGTCTGTTGAAGGGAATCTTGGCTCTTTTCACGGTTTGGTGACTGTGGCCATTGCTGTTATGAACATTGGGGTACAGATGACCCTTCTTTTCACTACAGCTGTATCTTTGGGGTAAATACCGTCGTACAATTGCAGGGTCATAGAGTAGCTCTATTTTTAATTTTTTGAGGAATCTCCACACTGTTTTCCAAAGTGGCTACACCAACCTTCATTCCCACCAACAGTGTGAGAGGTTTCCCCTTTCTCCACATCCTCTCCAACACTTGTTTACTGTTTTGTTAATTTTGGCCATTCTAACTGGTGTAAGGTGGTTTCTCAATGTGATTTTGATTTTAATCTCCCTGATGGCTAATGATGATGAACATTTTTTCATGTGTCTGTTAGTCATTTGTATGTCTTCTATGGAGAAATGTCTTTTCATCTCTTTTGCCCATTTTTTGACGTGATTATCTGTTTTTTGAGTGTTGAGTTTGAGGAGTCCTTTATAGATCTTGGATATCAGCCCTTTGTCTGTAGTGTCATTTGTGAATATCTTCTCCCATTCTGGGGTTTACCTCTTCGTTTTGTTAATTGTTTCCTTTGCTGTGCAGAAGGTTTTGATCTTGATGAAGTCCCAAAAGTTCATTTTCACTTTGGTTTCTTTTGCCTTTGGAGACATGTCTTGAAAGAAGTTGCTGTGGCTGATGTTGAAGAGGTTACTGCCTATGTTCTTCTCTGGGATTTTGACAAGATTCCTGACTCACATTGAGGTCTTTTATCCATTTTGAGTTTATCTTTGTGTGTTGTGTAAGAGAATGGTCAAGTTTTATTCTTCTATACATAGCTGTCCAGTTTTCCTAGCACCATTTATTGAAGAGACTGTATTTTTTCCACGAAATATTTTTCCCTGCTTTGTCGAAGATTATTTGACCATAGAGTTGAGGGTCCATATCTGGGCTCTCTACTCTTTTCCACTGGTCTATGTGTCTGTTTTTGTGCCAGTACCATGCTGTCTTGGTGATCACAGCTTTGTAGTAAAGCTTGAAATCAGGCAACGTGATGCCCCTAGTTTTTTGTTTTTGTTTTGTTTTGTTTTGTTTTTCTCAACATTTCCTTAGCAATTCGGGGTCTCTTCTGGTTCCATACATATGTTAGGATTGTGTTTGTTCCAGCATTTTGAAAAATGCCAGTGGAATTTTGATTGGGTTGGCATTGAAAGTATAGATTGCTCAGGGCAGTGCAGACATTTTAACAATGTTTATTCTGATCCATGAGCATGGAATGCTTTTCCATCTTTTTGTGTCTTCTTCAGTTTCTTTCATGAGTGTTCTGTAGTTCCTCGAGTACAGATCCTTTACCTCTTTGGTTAGGTTTATTCCCAGGTATCTTATGGTTCTTGGTGCTATAGTAAATGAAATTAATTATCTAATTTCCCTTTCTTTATTTTCATTGTTAGTGTATAAGAAAGCAACTGATTTCTGTGCATTAATTTTGCATCCTGCCACATTACTGAATTGCTGTATGAATTCTAGTACTTTGAGGGTGGAGTCTTTTGGGTTTTCCATATAAAGTATTGTGTCATCTGCCAAGAGATAGAGTTTGACTTCTTCTTTGTCATTTTGAATACCTTTTTCTTTTTGTTGTCTGATTGCTATTGCTAGGACTTCTAGTACTTTGTTGAACAAAAGTGGCGGGAGTGGCCATCCTTGTCGTGTTCCTGATGTCAGTGGGAAAGCTGTCAGCTTTTCCCGATTTAGAATGATATTTGCTGTGGGTTTTTCATGGATAGATTTTATGAAGTTGAGGAATGTTCCCTCTCTCCCTGTACTTGAAGCCTTTTAATCAGGAACGGATGCTGTATCTTGTCAAATGCTTTTTCTGCATCAATTGAGAGGACCATGTGGTTCTTCTCTCTTCTCTTGTTGATTTGTTCAATCACATTGATTGATTTGTGAATGTTGAACCACACTTGCATCCCAGGGATAAGTCCCACCTGATCATGATGGATAATCTTTTTTATGTACTGTTGGATCTTATTAGCTAAGATCTTGTTGAGAATTTTGGTATCCATATTCATCAGGAATATTTGTCTGAAATTCTCTTTTTTAATGGGGTCTTTGCCTGGTTTGGGGATCAGGGTAATGCTGGCTTCATAGAAAGAGTCTGGAATTTTTCCCTCTGTTTCTATTTTAAGGAAACAGCTTCAGGAGAATAGGTATCATTTCTTCTTTGAATGTTTTGTATAATTCTCCAGGGAATCCATCAGGCCCTGGACTCTTGTTTTTTGGGAGGTTTTTGATCACTACTTCAATCTCATTACTAGATATTGGCCTTTTCAGGTTGTCATTTTCTTCCTGATGCATTCTTAGAAGTTTATACTTTTTCAGGAATGCATCCATTTCCTCTGAGTTGCTTAACTTATTGGCATATAACTATTGATAATAATTTCTGATAATTGTATTTATTTCCTTGGTGTTAATCATGATCTTTCCCCTTTCATTCATAATTTTATTAATTTGGGTCTTCTGTTTTTTTCTTTTGGATTAGATTGGCCAGTTGTTTATTGGTCTTATCGATTCTTTCAAAGAACCAGCTTCTAGTTTCATTAATGTGTTCTACTCAATCTCTAGTTTCTATTTCATTGATCTCTGCTCTAATCTTGATTATCATTTCCCTTCTTGTGGAGTGGGTTGGCTTAATTTGTTGTTGGTTTTCCAAGTCTTTAAGGTGTAAAGAGAGCTGGTGTATTTTGGATTTTTCAGTTTTTTTGAGTGAGGCTTG